ATCTGGAGCATTTCTTTGATCTATTATTTTCTTTGAACGATTACATCTATTGAAGAATTGTCATGAGATATGGCAATAAAGCAGGTTGGATAACCTTGCTAAGAACCATAAGATCTTGCAGAGGCTGACACTTATAAACAATTTAGTACAGGTTATAACTGGTACAGTGTATATACATACTGTATACAGAGTATGTATATATATATATATATACACACATATACACACACACACACACACAAATTCAGTATAACTGCTTTGAACAGACAAAAAATATGGTTCGTTCAAAATGGTTTAACTGTACTTGGACTGACAAGTAAAAGAGCAATTCAAATGAGTTATGGACTACTTATCCTTCAATTTGTTATATACACACATATACACTATATTGCCAAAAGAAATGGCACGCCTGCCTTTACATGCACATGAAATTTAATGGCATCCCAGTCTTAGTCCATAGGGTTCAATATTATCCCAAAGGTGTTCTATCGGGTTGATGTCTGGACTCTGTGCAGGCCAGTCAAGTTCCTCCACCCCAAACTTGCTCATTCATGTTTTAATGGACCTCGCTTTGTGCACTGGTGTGCAGTCATGTTGGAACAGAAAGAGGCCATCCCCAAATTGTTCCCACAAAGTTGGAAGCATGAAAATGTACAAAATGTCTTGGTATGCTGACGCCTTCACTGGAACTAAGGGACCAAGCCCAACCCCTGAAAAAAACAACTCCACACCATAATCCCCCCTCCACCAAACTTTACACTAGGCACAATGCAGGCAGGCAAGTACTGTTCTCCTGGCAACCGCCAAACCCAGACACATCCATCAGAATGCCAGAAAGAGAAGCGTGATAGGTTACTCCAGAAAACACGTCTCCACTGCTCTACAGTCCAGTGGGGGTGTGCTTTACACCACTGAATCCAATGCTTTGCATTGCACTTGGTGATGTGAAGCTTCCATGAACCTCTCTATGCACTATTGTTGTGCTAATCTGAAGGCCACATGAAGTTTGGAGGTCTTTAGCTATTGACTCTGCAGACAGTTGGTGACTTCTGCGCACTGTGCGCTTCAGCATGCACTGACCCCACTCTATCAATTTACCCCTTCGTAGCTGAGTTGCTGTTGTTCCCAGTTGCTTTCACTTTGTTATAATACCACTAACAGTAGCAAGGAAATTTCACGGATGGACTTATTGCACAGGTGGCAACCTATCTCGGTAGCACGCTTGAATTCACTGAGCTCCTGAGAACGACCCATTCTTTCACAAATGTTTGTAGAAGCAGTCTGCATGCCTAGGTACTTGATTTCATACACCTGTGGAGGTGATTGGAACACCTGAATCCAATGATTTGGAGGGGTGTTCCAATACTTTTGGCAATATAGTGTGTGTGTGTGTATGTATATGTATGTATGTGTGTGTATATATATATATATATATATATATATATACGCAGTAGTAAGTGGCAAGTGTGTCCAATTACTGATCCAGTCCAGAGACAATTATTGAAGGTGGCAGATAACAGTGTTAGTACGTGCGTGGAACAGAGGGGCTTATTTACTAAAATTGGTTCACTCAGAATCTCGTGCACCTGTGGTAGCCAATCAGCTTCTAACATCAGCTTGTTCAATTAAGCTTTAGCAATTAAACCTGGAAGCTGATTGGTTTCTATCCAGAAGTGCACAAGATTCTGAATTTACCAGCTTTAGTATACAAACCCCAGTGTGTGGTGATGAAGTTTCTTGTGAACGAAGGCGTAAAACCTATGGATATCTACAGCAGAAGGCTTCAAGCACAGTATGGTGATGAGACGCTCAGCTGCAGTAAGACATTTGAATGGTGTAAACGTTTAAAAGATGGCAGCACGGCCGTCACGGATGGTTCCGGCCGTGGTGGTTCCCAGCCCACAGCAGTCATTCCTGTGAACATTCAGCATGTGGATTTTCTGACAAGAGACTAATCTTTCTGTGGGAACGGTGAACACAATGATGACGAAGCTAATCAGGCTGTCCTAGGATGGTTCGGGGTGTACTGACAAATCTTTCTATGCTGAAGGCATTAGTTAAACACTGGGATAAGTGTATAAATGTAGCAGGGGAGTTTGCTGAAAAAGAAACACCTAACTAATGTAAAGTTTGACCCTGACCCCTTCATTGTCGTGTGTTTTTGTGAAAGTCAGTCTCAGATCTTTGCCTTATTTCACATATCTCTGCTCATGACTGAATGTGCAGTGTGTACCAATTCATACAAAAGCGCTTGCTGAATTTGCACTACAAGTGTACCCAATACTGTTGGTAAGTTGCTTGATAAATTTCCAGCACTGTAACAGAGGCCTTTTTTTTTTTTTTTTTTTTAATGATAAGTTAGTTCCAGGGGTTGGTAAGCTTTTTCCAACACACAAAAATTAGAGTCTTATTTGTACGCAATACAATGATTTGTTGTCCAGATGCTGATTTTTTTTCTTCTGCTTTGCTAGTTTATAGGGTAGAGTTTTACTAGCAGAGAAATCTAAACATCAATATATGCAAGATTATTTCTTACTAGTATGGGTCACAGTGTGTAGAATCATTCTTTACAATGTACATATTCCTGCTGATTTCCCTACAAATCTCAGCAAGGTGCCTTACAGTGGACACAAAGCTGCAGTCAGGCTCAGCGTGAAACTGACAGTTTCATAAATCTCAGAAAAAGAAGTCCTAAATCACTTCACCACATGTACATGATGGTGAACACCACAAACCAGAACCATTGTAAACAATTCACTGATGTGGTCCTTTCAATATTTCTTCAAATCCGAAGTGCACGTGTAATAAATTAATAAATTTTTTTTTCATTACAAAAATTGTACTTCGACTGGGATTTATAATCCGAGTTCATTGGCTCCTTAGTGTTGCAAAAATTGGACATTTTTCACATAGAGTACTTTTATTACAACATCAGAGCTTAGTCAGATGATTCAGAGCCCATTCACACCACATTGTGTGCATTAACACGTACATTATATACATGCGCAAGTGTGCTTTTGAACCTGCATTGCATTAACACACATGGCAAGGCTTATTTATTATAATTCCTTAACATCTTAATATTGTTATGCTCTGCGCGAAAATGCTAAATGTCCTCGTTTTTCAGCACACACCAACATGCATCACGCAAGCAATAGGACTTAAGGCAAATTGCCTTGTTGTTGTGTTTAGCAATGCAGCTCAACACTGCATTGAATGGGTAGAAACATGATTGTAGAAGGAATGAAATATGTAGGTTCTTTACAAAGGTGGTCTAGTGATTTATAGCACAATAAAGGAGAGAGCTGGTAGCAACATCCCCATTTCTTATAATTTCTATAAAACTATCTGTTACAAATAGTTATACTCTTACAGCATATACGATACTTCATATTAAAGTTTAAACATTTCAGTAGAAGTGGTCATTCTAAGCACACAAGGGCTTGCACACGTGCTGTTGTCTGGGTTCAGTTTATACCAGAAATATTATCAATTGGTATTTGCATGCTCATCTTATGTTTTGGGATTTTCTTTCACGGTCCAAAAACATTAGTAGGCACATTAGCTGCTGACCAAACCCCCTTGGTTGTGTCTGTGTGATTGTAATATGGACATAAGAAGTTTTGGGGCTGAGGTGGTCATGACTGGGTCTATGGTCTCTTTGAAGTGCTCTGTGGTGCTATATGAACATGGTAGAAGTGTCTATTTGTTAGTTCTGAAATTGCTATTTTACTGGCTGCAGGCAATGAAATGTGTCCAGAACTCACAATGAAAAAGCTCTTGCTATAAGCTAAAAGTCAAAGGAGCGAACCTACTGAAAATGGTGCAGGGAGATTGCTTTTGGGAAATGTAAGTGTGCCCGAATTCATCTGTTTGAGTCCTTTCTTTAAAAAAAACAAAACGGGACTAAACCAGTTGCCAACTTGTAAGGTACATTAGCACCCCTGTTCGGCACTCCCCACTGCCATCACTGGATGAGTACTGGAGATATCACTGATGATAATAAAATATGTAGATAAAGGTAATGCTGAACATAGCAATCATTACAGGATAACCAACAGATATTTCTTTTGTGATAGTTGTGATTTAGCCCTTTCACCCCCAGAGCTTTTTGCACACATTTAAAAAATCATTTTAGTCCTGAAGATTACACAAAACTCTCAAACATTAAATATATTGTGAAAGCAGACACCCTAGAGAATAAAATGGTGGTAGTTCCAGTTTTTAACGTCACACTATATTACCACAAAGATCTAGGAAATGCAACATTTCAGTAAAAAACTCACTAAAGTGAATTTTAGGGCAAACAAATGCAATAAATTACCCAAATCTTTGGTAAAATATAAAAGATAAGGTTGCGACGATTAAATAAATACCCAACAAGTCAAACCTTAAAATTGCGTGCACCTGTGAAATGGCAGAAATCTTCAGTACCCTATATTTTCTATAGGCGATGCTTCAAAAGCCCCAATAGGTTATCAGTTTAGTCTTACAGAGGAGGTCTTGTGCTAGAATTTCGATATACATGGTGATATGTAACAGGTGTATCGTAATCAACATTTTCACATGTAGGCGCCACCAACGTGTGCATTTACATTTGTACGTGCATATATGTGGGGGTGGGGTTCTCAAAATATTTTGGGGGGAGATGTTATGTGCTTGGGTATAACTTGAATTTTTTGCAAATAAAAATTAAAGTTTTACTTTTTTTTTTTCATCACATGGGGGACACAAATCCCCTATGTCATGATTTTTCAATGACAGGATCTCTTTAATGAGACATGCAGGGTCTTTTAGACTCCTTTGGGCTCCACTGGATGTATTGAAATGCAGATTGTAGAGTGACAGCAGTGACCCGGAAGTGACTTCATGTTCATTGTTTTCCAGGTCATAGCAAGAAGGGGAGGAGAGCGGACTTCTCTCCTCTCTCCCCTCCACCTGCTAGCACAGGGCCCACAGATGGGCAAGCAGAGCCTGGAATACATGGCGGGGAGCGTGCAGGGAGCAGGGGCGGACTGACCATTTGCAAACTCAGGCACTGCCCGAGGGCAGTAGGGGCCCCATGAGATGCCCCTGGTACCTTTTTCATAGGCTTTTTTGAGTTTGGGCAAGGACACATGGGCCCCATGATCCCCTATTGCCCGGGGGCCCCATGAGTTGTCAGTCCGCCCCTGGCAGGGAGGCGCCATTACCAGGTTGTGTGGAAGTATGCTTCTACCTGACAGGCAGGAGTCTGCCTGTTAGTTTTATACACAATCCCGGTATGTACACAAACCACCGAATTGTGTATAACCCCATCAACCCCCCCGCTGTTAGGTTCATACTAGAGATGAGCGAATCGAAGTAGGCGAAGTGGAATTCGAGTCGAATATTGAAAAAATCCGAAAAAAAATAGCCTACTTCGGACGCGCGAATCGAAATTTTTCCTAAAATGGCGGCGGACATGTGCGGCGACGGAGCGGGGATGTCTGGGAAGGCGCGCAGACAAGGCGCGCTGACCCATAATGCATTCCTTAATGACATGTGATCGCATTAGCCAATCAGCAGCCAGGCAGCCAGCACTGTGTAATGGTCGAGCTATAAATAGCGGCCATTTTAGAATTCTTCATTTGCCTCCAGTCATTCAAGAGAGGCAGACCGCTCTGTATTAGGGACAGAGTTAGGGCCACAGAAACGTTACTTGGGGACAGAGAAACGTTACTTAGGGACAGAGAAGCATTACTCAGGGACACAGAATTGTTAATGAGGGCCACAGAATCGTTACTTAGGGCCAAAGAAACGCTAGTTAGGGCCACAGAATTGTTACTCAGGGACAGACAGAATTGTTACTGAGTGCCAGAGAATTGTTACTTAGGGCCACAGAAACGTTAGTTAGGGACACAGAATTGTTACTCAGGGACAGACACAGAATTGTTACTGAGGGCCACAGAACTGTTACTTAGGGCCACAGAAACGTTATTAGGGCCACAGAATTGTTACTCAGGGACAGACAGAATTGTTACTGAGTGCCAGAGAATTGTTACTTAGGGCCACAGAAACGTTAGTTAGGGCCACAGAATTGTTACTCAGGGACAGACACAGAATTGTTACTGAGGGCAACAGAACTGTTACTTAGGGCCACAGAAACGTTACTTAGGGCCACAGAATTGTTACTCAGGGACAGACAGAATTGTTACTGAGGGCCACAGAATTGTTACTTAGGGCCACAGAAACGTTACTCAGGGACACAGAATTGTTACTGAGGGCCACAGAACTGTTACTTAGGGCCACAGAAACGTTAGTTAGGGCCACAGAATTGTTACTCAGGGACAGACACAGAATTGTTACTGAGGGCCACAGAATTGTTACTTAGGGCCACAGAATTGTTACTGAGGGCCACACAGAACTGTTACTTAGGGCCACAGAAAACGTTAGTTAGGGCCACAGAATTGTTACTCAGGGACAGACACAGAATTGTTACTGAGGGCCACAGAATTGTTACTTAGGGCCACAGAAACGTTACTCAGGGACACAGAATTGTTACTGAGGGCCACAGAATTGTTACTTAGGGCCACAGAATTGTTACTCAGGGACAGACAGAATTTGTTACTGAGGGCCACAGAATTGTTACTTAGGGCCACAGAATTGTTACTCAGGGACACAGAATTGTTACTGAGGGCCACAGAATTGTTACTTAGGGCCACAGAAACGTTACTCAGGGACACAGAATTGTTACTGAGGGCCACAGAATTGTTACTTAGGGCCACAGAAACGTTACTTAGGGCCACAGAATTGAATTGTTACTGAGGACACAGAATTGTTACTGAGGGCCACAGAATTGTTACTTAGGGCCACAGAATTGTTACTCAGGGACACAGAATTGTTACTGAGGGCCACAGAACCGTTACTTAGGGCCACAGAATTGTTACTCAGGGACAGACACAGAATTGTTACTCATGGGACACAGAATTGTTACTGAGGGCCACAGAACCGTTACTTAGGGCCACAGAAACGTTACTCAGGGACACAGAATTGTTACTGAGGGCCACAGAACCGTTACTTAGGGCCACAGAATTGTTACTCAGGGACAGACACAGAATTGTTACTGAGGAGGGACACAGAATTGTTACTGAGGGCCACAGAACCGTTACTTAGGGACACAGAATTGTTACTCAGGGACAGACACAGAATTGTTACTGACAGGGCCACAGAATTGTTACTTAGGGCCACAGAAACGTTATTAGGGCCACAGAATTGTTACTCAGGGACAGAACACAGAATTGTTACTGAGGGCCACAGAATTGTTACTTAGGGCCACAGAAACGTTAGTTAGGGGCCACAGAATTGTTACTCAGGGACAGACACAGAATTGTTACTGAGGGCCACAGAATTGTTACTTAGGGCCACAGAAATTGTTACTTAGGGCCACAGAATTGTTACTGAGGGACACAGGGACAGGGCCACAGAATTGTTACTGAGGGCCACAGAATTGTTACTTAGGGCCACAGAAACGTTACTTAGGGCCACAGAATTGTTACTCAGGGACAGACACAGAATTGTTACTGAGGGCCACAGAACTGTTACTGGACACAGAATTGTTACTGAGGGCCACAGAAACGTTACTTAGGGCCACAGAGATTGTTACTCAGGGACAGACACAGAATTGTTACTGAGGGCCACAGAACTGTTACTGAGGCCACAGAACCGTTACTTAGGGCCACAGAATTGTTACTCAGGGAGGGACACAGAATTGTTACTGAGGGCCACAGAATTGTTACTTAGGGCCACAGAATTGTTACTCAGGGACACAGAATTGTTACTGAGGGCCACAGAATTGTTACTTAGGTCCACACAGAATTGTTACTCAGGGACACAGAATTGTTACTGAGGGCCACAGAATTGTTACTTAGGGCCACAGAAACGTTACTTAGGGACCACAGAATTGTTACTCAGGGCCACAGAACACAGGGAATTGACACAGAATTGTTACTGAGGGCCACAGAATTGTTACTTAGGGCCACAGAATTGTTACTCAGGGACACAGAATTGTTACTGAGGGCACACAGAATTGTTACTTAGGGCCACAGAATTGTTACTCAGGGACAGACACAGAATTGTTACTGAGGGCCACAGAATTGTTACTTAGGGCCACAGAATTGTTACTCAGGGACAGACAGAATTGTTACTGAGGGCCACAGAATTGTTACTTAGGGCCACAGAAATTGTTACTCAGGGACACAGAATTGTTACTGAGGGCCACAGAATTGTTACTTAGGGCCACAGAAACGTTAGTTAGGGCCACAGAATTGTTACTCAGGGACAGACACAGAATTGTTACTGAGGGCCACAGAATTGTTACTTAGGGCCACAGAAACGTTACTCAGGGACACAGAATTGTTACTGAGGGCCACAGAATTGTTACTTAGGGCCACAGAATTGTTACTCAGGGACAGACACAGAATTGTTACTCAGGGACACAGAATTGTTACTGAGGGCCACAGAACCGTTACTTAGGGCCACAGAAACGTTACTCAGGGACACAGAATTGTTACTGAGGGCCACAGAACCGTTACTTAGGGCCACAGAATTGTTACTCAGGGACAGACACAGAATTGTTACTGAGGGACACAGAATTGTTACTGAGGGCCACAGAACCGTTACTTAGGGCCACAGAATTGTTACTCAGGGACACAGAATTGTTACTGAGGGCCACAGAACCGTTACTTAGGGCCACAGAATTGTTACTCAGGGACACAGAATTGTTACTGAGGGCCACAGAACCGTTACTTAGGGCCACAGAATTGTTACTCAGGGACACAGAATTGTTACTGAGGGACACAGAATTGTTACTGAGGGCACACAGACACCGTTATTGTTAATCGGGGACACAGAATTGTTACTGAGGGACACAGAATTGTTTTTACTTAGGGCCACAGAATTGTTACTCAGGGACACAGAATTGTTACTGAGGGAACAGAACCGTTACTTAGGGCCACAGAATTGTTACTCAGGGACACACACAGAATTGTTACTGAGGGACACAGAATTGTTACTGAGGGCCACAGAAACGTTACTTAGGGACACAGAATTGTTACTCAGGGACAGACACGAATTGTTACTGAGGGACACAGAATTGTTACTGAGGGCCACAGAACCGTTACTTAGGGGGCCACAGAAACGTTATCAGGGGACACAGAATTGTTACTGAGGGCCACAGAAACCGTTACTTAGGGCCACAGAATTGTTACTCAGGGACAGACACAGAATTGTTACTGAGGGACACAGAATTGTTACTGAGGGCCACAGAACCGTTACTTAGGGACACAGAATTGTTACTGAGGGACACAGAATTGTTACTTAGGGCACACAGAATTGTTACTCAGGGACAGACACAGAATTGTTACTCAGGGACACAGAATTGTTACTGAGGGCCACAGAATTGTTACTTAGGGCCACAGAACGTTACTCAGGGACAGACACAGAATTGTTACTCAGGGACAGACACAGAATTGTTACTCAGGGACACAGAATTGTTACTGAGGGACACAGAATTGTTACTGAGGGGGACACAGAATTGTTACTCAGGGACACAGAATTGTTACTGAGGGACACAGAATTGTTACTGAGGGACACAGAATTGTTACTCAGGGACAGACACAGAATTGTTACTCAGGGACAGACACAGAATTGTTACTCAGGGACAGACAGAATTGTTACTGAGGGCCACAGAATTGTTACTTAGGGCCACAGAAACGTTACTCAGGGACACAGAATTGTTACTCAGGGACAGACACAGAAATTGTTACTCAAGGACAGACACAGAATTGTTACTGAGGGACACAGAATTGTTACTGAGGGCCACAGAATTGTTACTTAGGGCCACAGAAACGTTACTCAGGGACAGACAGAATTGTTACTGAGGGACAGACACAGGGAATTGTTACTGAGGGACACAGAATTGTTACTGAGGGACAGGGACACAGAATTGTTACTCAGGGACACAGAATTGTTACTGAGGGCCACAGAAACGTTACTTACTTTAGGCCACAGAATTGTTACTCAGGGACAGACACAGAATTGTTACTGAGGGACACAGAATTGTTACTGAGGGCCACAGAACGTTACTCAGGGCCACAGAAACGCTTTACTCAGGGACAGACACAGAATTGTTACTCAGGGACAGACACAGAATTGTTACTCAGGGACACAGAATTGTTTACTGAGGGACACAGAATTGTTACTGAGGGCCACAGAATTGTTACTCAGGGACACAGAATTGTTACTGAGGGACACAGAATTGTTACTCAGGGACAGACACAGAATTGTTACTGAGGGACACAGAATTGTTACTTAGGGCCACAGAACTGTTACTTAGGCCCACAAAACGTTACTCAGGGGACACAGAATTGTTACTGAGGGACACACAGAATTGTTACTGAGGGACAGAACAGAATTGTTACTCAGGGACAGACACAGAATTGTTACTGAGGGCCACAGAACTGTTACTTAGGGCCACAGAAACTGTTACTTAGGGCCACAGAAACGTTACTCAGGGACACAGAATTGTTACTCAGGGACACAGAATCGTTTAATTAAAGAGTATGTCAGACAACATGCAGAGGAGTGGCAGAGGAGGCAATGTTTTTAGGAGCGAGCAGAACGTGGCAGCAGAGGAAGGGGGGTCGAGGCAGCACTATTCGCAGCAGAGGCTAGTGCTCCCGGTGTCATCCAGTACAATGAGGAAGGAAGCTAACAGAGGCGCGCGGTCAGGAACGGGGGGAGACATCCGCCTATTCAGCAGCCAGGCGAAGAAGTAGTGGCGAGGAGAGTGGCACGGTAGCCGGTGTAAGAGACAGGTCTGTCTCCTGACCCACACGCAGTTACCGAGGGGGGCTAGTAGTGAGGCGGAGACCCTAATTGATGATGATTTTTGATCGCACTTGGCAGCCTCGTCAGAATTCATCAGGCTATTGCTTCCGCATCATCAGGAGAAGAGGGTCTGGCAGCTTGGCAGCGAGCAAAACATGTCGGTGGGTTGTAGGGCCATCGCCACATTGTCTCTGCCATGTGCCACTTTCAGGTCTCCTCACACACTGCTGGTGTGTTGAATTTTTTGACATAGGGTGCTGGCAGATTACGGGCCTCCCATAGCTGCTGCCAGGCCCCTAATCTGCCATGGGCCCCTATACCGCCTCCTCATGCTGCTGCCAGGTCCACAGTCTCTCATGCCATGTGCCACTTTCAGGTCTCCTCACACACTGCTGGTCAGGTCTCCTCGCTGGGCAAAGTTTCAATTTTTTGACATAGGGTGCTGGCAGATTACGGGCCTCCCATAGCTGCTGCCAGGCCCCTAATCTGCCATGGGCCCCTATATACCGCCTCCTCATGCTGCTGCCAGGTCCAGAGTCTGTCATGGGTCCCTGTACGGCCTCCCATTGCTGCTGTCTCCATCGCCCACACTCTGCCATGTGCCACTTTCAGGTCTCCTCACACACTGCTGGTGTGTTGAAATTTTTTGACATAGGGTGCTGGCAGATTACGGGCCTCCCATAGCTGCTGCCAGGCCCCTAATCTGCCATGGGCCCCTATATACCGCCTCCTCATGCTGCTGCCAAGTCCAGAGTCTGTCATGGGTCCCTGTACGGCCCTCCCATTGCTGCTGCTGTCTCCATCGCCACACTCTGCCATGTGCCACTTTCAGGTCTCCTCACACACTGCTGGTGTGTTGAAATTTTTTGACATAGGGTGCTGGCAGATTACGGGCCTCCCATAGCTGCTGCCAGGCCCCTAATCTGCCATGGGCCCCTATATACCGCCTCCTCATGCTGCTGCCAGGTCCAGAGTCTCTCATGGGTCCCTGTCGGCCTCCCATTGCTGCTGTCTCCATCGCCACACTCTGCCATGTGCCACTTTCAGGTCTCCTCACACACTGCTGGTGTGTTGAATTTTTTTTGACATAGGGTGCTGGCAGATTACGGGCCTCCCATAGCTGCTGCCAGGCCCCTAATCTGCCATGGGCCCCTATATACCGCCTCCTCATGCTGCTGCCAAGTCCAGAGTCTGTCATGGGTCCCTGTACGGCCTCCCATTGCTGCTGTCTCCATCGCCACACTCTGCCATGTGCCACTTTCAGGTCTCCTCACACACTGCTGGTGTGTTGAATTTTTTGACATAGGGTGCTGGCAGATTACGGGCCTCCCATAGCTGCTGCCAGGCCCCTAATCTGCCATGGGCCCCTATATACCGCCTCCTCATGCTGCTGCCAAGTCCAGAGTCTCTCATGGGTCCCTGTACGGCCTCCCATTGCTGCTGTCTCCATCGCCACACTCTGCCATGTGCCACTTTCAGGTCTCCTCACACACTGCTGTGTGAATTTTTTGACATAGGGTGCTGGCAGATTACGGGCCTCCCATAGCTGCTGCCAGGCCCCTAATCTGCCATGGGCCCCTATATACCGCCTCCTCATGCTGCTGCCAAGTCCAGAGTCTCTCATGGGTCCCTGTACGGCCTCCCATTGCTGCTGTCTCCATCGCCACACTCTGCCATGTGCCACTTTCAGGTCTCCTCACACACTGCTGGTGTGTTGAATTTTTTGACATAGGGTGCTGGCAGATTACGGGCCTCCCATAGCTGCTGCCAGGCCCCTAATCTGCCATGGGCCCCTATACCGCCTCCTCATGCTGCTGCCAGGTCCAGGCGAACGTAGTCACACAGGGGAGGAACTTCTCAGTGTAATGAACAGAGAAATCGACACAGATGGCTGTACTCTCCGCGCAAACTGAAAATCGGAACCATGTTGACCGACAAACGGAAAGAACATGGTGTCTGCTCTGCGTCAAGTAAGGTTGTGCCATGCGCCATGCATGGCTCACGTGTTCAATCTGGTTGTCAAGCGGTTCCTAAAATCCACCATCCCACTGCAAGACATCCTTAAAATGTCACGTAAACTTTGCATGCATTTCAGCCATTCCTACACCGCAAAGCACACCCTCCTTGAGCTGCAGCGGCAGAACGGAATTGCACAGCATCGCCTGATCTGCGACGTTGCAACAAGGTGGAATTCAACCCTACACATGTTAGACCGCCTTTTACGAACAGCGAAAGGCCATCACCGATTTCCTGATGTTACAAGCGGATAAAGGTACTCCCCTGTGTAACTTCGATGTCAGCCATTGGCAGCTCATGCGTGACACCTGCCGCTTGCTCAGGCCCTTTGAGGAGGCCACGCTATTCGTGAGTCGGCAGGACTATGGATGAACGACGTCATTCCTCTGTTGCACGTCCTGGAACAAATGCTGTTAACAATGGCTGGTCAGGGTGCGGTAGACGTGGCGCACAGATCTCAACGCCACATGACCCCTGTGGGGGCAGGACAGGAAGAAGAGGAGGAGGTAGAGGAGGACATTTGTGCTCAGGAATTATTGAGTGAAATGGGTGGTTTTTCCACTCAGCGGACAGGAGTGGAGGAGCAGGAGCATCTGGTAGAGGAGGAGGAGGAGGAGGAGACAGAGGACCCAGACGCACCGTGGCAGTATGCTGTGGAGATGGAGGCAGGGAGTCCCTCGCATTCCTTGGCACAAATGGCCCATAGCATGCTCGGTTGCTTGCGTAGCGACAGCCGAATAATAACCATCAGACAGAGGGATGATGACTTTTGGCTGTCCACCTTGTTGGACCCTCGCTACCGTTCAAAAATGGTGGCCTTTTTCACACCTGCTGAGAGGGAGGCCAAAATAACGTACTATAAAAACCACCTATGTAGTCAGTTGGTCTCTGCCTTTCTGCGCCAATGTCCATCCTCAGACACTGTGGGCCCTGTGCGCTCGCGTTTCGCGTTCCGCTGCCATGGCAGCAGGGGGAGGGGTGGGGTGGTAGGAGCAGTGGCAGCTCCACCAGCAGCGGCTGCCTCAGTCTGCAGTCGATGATGAGTAGCTTTCTTCACCAGCGCAGTGAGGAAACTACTAACCAGCTGCAGCAGCAGCAGCAGCAGCATCAGGTGGACCTGGAGCAGGACCTCACAACAACAGGCTTGGGCCTACTTGGACAGCACCCTGCCAACCGAGGTAGACAATCCCCTTGACTACTGGGCAACGAAAACTTGACCTTTGGCCCCAACTAGCTGAATTTGCCCTTGAAAGGCTGTCATGCCCGGCCAGTAGCGTGGCATCGGGAGCGTGTGTTTAGTGCGGCAGGAGGTATTGTAACTCCGCGGAGGACACGACTGTCCACCCAAAGTGTGGAGAGACTCACGTTTGTGAAAATGAATCAGGCGTGGATTAGTCTGGATTTCAAACCACCAGTTCCTGACACAACTGACTAAATCCGCCATGAATCATGCCCCAAACATGTGCCACTTTCAGGTCTCCTCACACACTGCTGGTGTGTTGAATTTTTTGACATAGGGTGCTGGCAGATTACGGGCCTCCCATATAGCTGCTGCCAGGCCCCTAATCTGCCATGGGCCCCCTATACCGCCTCCTCATGCTGCTGCCAGGTCCAGAGTCTCTCATGGGTCCCTGTACGGCCTCCCATTGCTGCTGTCTCCATCGCCACACTCTGCCATGTGCCACTTTCAGGTCTCCTCACACACTGCTGGTGTGTTGAAATTTTTTGACATAGGGTGCTGGCAGATTACGGGCCTCCCATAGCTGCTGCCAGGCCCCTAATCTGCCATGGGCCCCTATACCGCCTCCTCATGCTGCTGCCAAGTCCAGAGTCTCTCATGGGTCCCTGTACGGCCTCCCATTGCTGCTGTCTCCATCGCCACACTCTGCCATGTGCCACTTTCAGGTCTCTCTCACACACTGCTGGTGTGTTGAATTTTTTTGACATAGGGTGCTGGCAGATTACGGGCCTCCCATAGCTGCTGCCAGGCCCCTAATCTGCCATGGGCCCCCTATATACCGCCTCTCATGCTGCTGCCAGGTCCAGAGTCTCTCATGGGTCCCTGTACGGCCTCCCATTGCTGCTGTCTCATGCCACACTCTGTGCCACTTTCAGGTCTCCTCACACTGCTGGTGTGTTGAATTTTTTGACATAGGGTGCTGGCAGATTACGGGCCTCCCATAGCTGCTGCCAGGCCCCTAATCTGCCATGGGCCCCTATATACCGCCTCCTCATGCTGCTGCCAGGTCCAGAGTCTGTCATGGGTCCCCTGTACGGCCTCCCATTGCTGCTGTCTCCATCGCCACACTCTGCCATGTGCCACTTTCAGGTCTCCTCACACTGCTGCTGGTGTGTTGAATTTTTTGACATAGGGTGCTGGCAGATTACGGGCCTCCATAGCTGCTGCCAGGCCCCTAATCTGCCATGGGCCCCTATACCGCCTCCTCATGCTGCTGCCAGGTCCATGCTGCATTGCCTGTACCATTGCTGTGTCCATGCCATGTGCCCACTTTCAGGTCTCCTGCTGCTGGTGTGTTGAATTTTTTGACATAGGGTGCTGGCAGATTACGGGCCTCCCATAGCTGCTGCCAGGCCCCTAATCTGCCATGGGCCCCCCTCCTCATGCTGCTCCAGGTCTCATGGTGTCTCTGTCTGCCTCCCATTGCCACTTTCAGGTCCTCCTCACACACTGCTGGTGTGTTGAATTTTTTTTGACATAGGGTGCTGGCAGATTACGGGCCTCCCATAGCTGCTGCCAGGCCCCTAATCTGCCATGGGCCCCTATACCGCCTCCTCATGCTGCTGCCAGGTCCACAGTCTGTCATGGGTCCCTGTACGGCCTCCCATTGCTGCTGTCTCATCGCCACACTCTGCCATGTGCCACCTTTCAGGTCTCCTCACACTGCTGGTGTGTTGAATTTTTTGACATAGGGTGCTGGCAGATTACGGGCCTCCCATAGCTGCTGCCAGGCCCCTAATCTGCCATGGGCCCCTATATACCGCCTCCTCATGCTGCTGCCAAGTCCAGAGTCTGTCATGGGTCCCTGTACGGCCTCCCATTGCTGCTGTCTCCATCGCCCACACTCTGCCATGTGCCACTTTCAGGTCTCCCTCACACTGCTGGTGTGTTGAATTTTTTGACATAGGGGTGCTGGCAGATTACGGGCCTCCCATAGCTGCTGCCAGGCCCCTAATCTGCCATGGGCCCCTAATATACCGCCTCCTCATGCTGCTGCCAGGTCCAGAGTCTCCATGGGTCCCTACGGCCTCATTGCTGCTGTCTCCAGGTCCACACACTCATGCCATGTGCCACTTTCAGGTCTCCTCACACTGCTGGTGTGTTGAATTTTTTGACATAGGGTGCTGGCAGATTACGGGCCTCCCATAGCTGCTGCCAGGCCCCTAATCTGCCATGGGCCCCTATATACCGCCTCCTCATGCTGCTGCCAGGTCCAGAGTCTGTCATGGGTCCCTGTACGGCCTCCCATTGCTGCTGTCTCCATCGCCACACCTGCCATGTGCCACTTTCAGGTCTCCTCACACTGCTGGTGTGTTGAATTTTTTGACATAGGGTGCTGGCAGATTACGGGCCTCCTATAGCTGCTGCCAGGCCCCTAATCTGCCATGGGCCCCTATATACCGCCTCCTCATGCTGCTGCCACAGTCTCATGCCATGTGCCACACCATTTCTCTCACATGCTGGGTGTTGAATTTTTTGACATAGGGGCTCCCATTGCTAGCTGCTGCCTCCTAATCATGGGCCCCTATACCACTCCTCATGCTGCCATGTCAGGCCACTTTCAGGTCTCCTCACACACTGCTGGTGTGTTGACTTTTTTTGACATAGGGTGCTGGCAGATTACGGGCCTCCCATAGCTGCTGCCAGGCCCCTAATCTGCCATGGCCCCTATATACCGCCTCCTCATGCTGCTGCCAGGTCCAGAGTCTGTCATGGGTCCCTGTACGGCCTCCCATTGCTGCTGTGTCTCCATCGCCACACTCTGCCATGTGCCACTTTCAGGTCTCCTCACACTGCTGGTGTGTTGAATTTTTTGACATAGGGTGCTGGCAGATTACGGGCCTCCCATAGCTGCTGCCAGGGCCCCTAATCTGCCATGGGCCCCTATACCGCCTCCTCTGCTGCTGCAGGTCCAGAGTCTCTGTCATGGGTCCCACATTGTGCTGTCTCATCGCCACACTCTGCCATGTGCCACTTTCAGGTCTCTCCTCACACTGCTGGTGTGTTGAATTTTTTGACATAGGGTGCTGGCAGATTACGGGCCTCCCATAGCTGCTGCCAGGCCCCTAATCTGCCATGGGCCCCTATACCGCCTCCTCATGCTGCTGCCAGGTCCAGAGTCTGTCATGGGTCCCTGTACGGCCTCCCATTGCTGCTGTCTCCATCGCCACACTCTGCCATGTGCCACTTTCAGGTCTCCTCACACTGCTGGTGTGTTGAATTTTTTTGACATAGGGTGCTGGCAGATTACGGGCCTCCCATAGCTGCTGCCAGGCCCCTAATCTGCCATGGGCCCCTATTTACCGCCTCCTCATGCTGCTGCCAGGTCCACAGTCTCTCATGCCATGTGCCACTTTCAGGTCTCCTCACACTGCTGGTGTGTTGAATTTTTTGACATAGGGTGCTGGCAGATTACGGGCCTCCCATAGCTGCTGCCAGGCCCCTAATCTGCCATGGGCCCCTATATACCGCCTCCTCATGCTGCTGCTGCCAAGTCCAGAGTCTCTCATGGGTCCCTGTACGGCCTCCCATTGCTGCTGTCTCCATCGCCACACTCTGCCATGTGCCACTTTCAGGTCTCCTCACACACTGCTGGTGTGTTGAATTTTTTGACATAGGGTGCTGGCAGATTACGGGCCTCCCATAGCTGCTGCCAGGCCCCTAATCTGCCATGGGCCCCTATACCGCCTCCTCATGCTGCTGCCAGGTCCACAGTCTCTCATGGGTCCCTGTGCCACTTTCAGGTCTCCTCACTCACATGTGCCTGCTGGTGTGTTCCATTTTTTGTCATAGGGTGCTGGCAGATTACGGGCCTCCCATAGCTGCTGCCAGGCCCCTAATCTGCCATGGGCCCCTATACCGCCTCCTCATGCTGCTGCCCAGTCCAGAGTCTCTCATGGGTCCCTGTACGGCCTCCCCATTGCTGCTGTCTCCATCGCCACACTCTCATGCCATGTGCCACTTTCAGGTCTCCTCACACTGCTGGTGTGTTCCATTTTTTGTCATAGGGTGCTGGCAGATTACGGGCCTCCCATAGCTGCTGCCAGGCCCCTAATCTGCCATGGGCCCCTATACCGCCTCCTCATGCTGCTGCCAGGTCCAGAGTCTCTCATGGGTCCCTGTACGGCCTCCCATTGCTGCTGTCTCCATCGCCACACTCTGCCATGTGCCACTTTCAGGTCTCCTCACACTGCTGTGTGGGTTCCATTTTTTGTCATAGGGTGCTGGCAGATTACGGGCCTCCCATAGCTGCTGCCAGGCCCCTAATCTGCCATGGCCCCCGTACCGACTCCTCATGCTGCTGCCAGGCCCGTAATCTGTCATGGGCCCCTGTTGTCGCTTGTTGGCATATTCCGCTCGTTCAGATGCTCCTTCTCCTGCTACTCCTCTTCACGGATTCCGTCAGCAGTCTTTCTTGGAATCCGTTTCCAAGAGACAACAGTTTGCGAGCACGCACCCGACGGTGCAGAAGCTGAACGTCCTCCTGTCCAAGTTGCTGCTGCCAGGCTCGTAATCTGTCATGCGCCCCTGTACCGCCTCCTCATGCTGCTGCCAGGTCCAGAGTGTGTCATGGGCCCCCGTACCGACTCCTCATGCTGCTGCCAGGCCCGTAATCTGTCATGGGCCCCTGTACCGCCTCCCCATGCTGCTGCCAGGTCCAGAGTGTGTCATGGGTCCCTGTACGGCCTCCCATTGCTGCTGCCAGGCCGTAATCTGCCATGGGCCCCCGTACCGACTCCTCATGCTGCTGCCAGGCCCGTAATCTGTCATGGGCCCCTGTACCGCCTCCTCATGCTGCTGCCAGGTCCAGAGTGTGTCATGGGTCCCTGTACGGCCTCCCATTGCTGCTGTCTCTATCGCCACACTCTGCCATGTGCCACTTTCAGGTCTCCTCACACTGCTGGTGGTTTCCATTTTTGTCATAGGGTGCTGTATGGCCTCCCATTGCTGCTGCCTCCACCGCCACACTGTGGCTCCACACTCTGGTTTTGGCCCCGTGACTGCCCAAATGAGTGAAGTGTGCGGTGATTCTAAGATCGACGGCACTCATCTGCATGTCATACTGACTGACAGTATTATTTCTCTTCCCCAGCAGACTCCAAGGGCATTTAAATTAAAGGTACAGTGTTCTGCACTAATATTAAGTCTCTCTGAAGCCTAGAAACACCCTTTTTTTAAGTTAAATTCACAGCGAATATATTCGACTCGAATCGAAATTTTTCCACGAATTCGCCGAATCGAATCGAATTTTTGAATACTTCGCTCATCTCTAGTTCATACAACATACCTGGCAGCATTGGCAGAGTGAAATAACGAAACTAATAACTGGGCTCAGATTTAAAGCTGAACTCCAGCTTTTGTTGCAATTTACATAGTTTGTTTGGGCCAAGCTGGCCAAAATCAACTCTCTCCCTCACCAACATGTGAGGCTGCTGGATGGGCTACATAAACTCTATATAGCTCAGGCTACATACAGCACTGTGTCATTAATGGCTGTGTGTTGAGTTATCTTGAGGGGACAGCAAATTTACACTGTTATGCAAGCTGTACACTCACTACTTTACAGTGTAGCAAAGTGTCATTTCTTCAGTGTTGTCACATGAAAAGATAGAATAAAATATTTACAAAAATGTCAGGGGTGTACTCACTTCTGGGAGATATATATATATATATATATATATATATATAGTGCATCCAGAAAGTATTCTCAGTGCTTAACGTTTTCCACATTTTGTTATGTTACAGCCTTATTCCAACATGGATTAAATTCATTTTTTCCCTCAGCATTTTACAAACAACACCCCATAATGACAACATGAAAGAAGTTTGTTTTGAAATCTTTGCAATTTATTAAAAAAAAAAAAGACATATGTACATAAGTATTCACAGTCTTTGCTCAATACTTTGTTGAAGCACCTTTAGCACTAATTACAGCCTCAAGTCATTTTGAGTATGATGCTACAAGCTTGGCACACCTATTTTTGGGCAATTTCTCCCATTCTTCTTTGAAGTACCTCTCAAGCTCCATCAGGTTTGATAGGGAGTGTCGGTGCACAGCCATTTTCAGATCTCTCCAGAGATGTTCAATAGGGTTCAAGTCTGGGCTCTGGCTGGGCCATTCCAGGACATTCACAGAGTTGGCCTGTAGCCACTGTTTTGTTATGTGGGCTGTGTGCTTAGGGTTGTTGTCCTGTTGAAAGATGAACCATCGCCCCAGTCTAAGGTCCAGAGCGATCTGGAACAGGTTTTCATCAAGGATGTATCTGTACATTGCTGCATTCATCTTTCTTTCGATTTTGACTAGTCTCCCAGTTCCTGCTGCTGTAAAGCATCCCCACAGCATGATGTTGCCACCACCATGCTTCACTGTGGGGATGGTATTGGCCAGGTGGTGAGCAGTGCCTGGTTTTCCCCAGACATGACGCGTGGCATTCAGGCCAAAAAGTTCAATCTTTGTTTCATCAGACCAGAGAGTTTTGCCATTTACCTTTTACTGAGGAGTGGCTTCCATCTGGCCACTCTACCATACAGACATGATTGGTGGAGTGCTGCAGAGATGGTTGTTCTTCTGGAAAGTTCTCTCTCCACAGAGAAATGCTGAAGCTCTTTCAGAGTGACTATCGGGTGCTTGGTTACCTCCCTGGTTAAGGCTTTCTCCATCGTTCACTCATTTTGGCCAGCCGGCCCGCTCTAGGAAGATTCCTGGTGGTTCCAAACTTCTTTCAATTAAGGATGATGGAGGCCACCTGTGCTCATTGGGACCTTTAATGCTGCAGAAATTTTTCTGTACCCTTCCCCAGATCTGTGCCTTGATACAATCCTGTCTGTCTCAGAGGTCTACTGACAACTCCTTGGACTTCATGGCTTGATTTGTGCTCTGACATGCACTGTTAACTGTGGGACCGTATATAGACAGGTTTATGCCTTTCCTAATCATGTCCAATCAACTGAATTTCCCACAGGTGGACTGCAATCAAGTTGTGGAAACAACTCAAGAATGATCTGTGGGAACAGGATGCACCAGAGCTCAATTTTGAGTGTCCTGGCAAAGGCTGTGAATACTTTGTGTACATGTGTTTTTGTTAATTTTTTATCTTTAGTAAATTGCAAAGATTTCAAAACTAACTTCTTTCACATTGTCATTATGGGGTATTATTTGTAGAATGTTGAGGAAAAAAATAAATTTAATCCATTTTGGAAAAAGGCTGTGACATAACAAAATGTGGCAAAAGTTAAGTGCTGTGAATACTTTTGAATAACACACACACACACTATATTACCAAACGTATTGGGGCACCCCTCTAAATCATTGGATGCAGGTGTTCCAATCACCTCCAATCAAACACCTAGGCATGCAGACTGCTTCTACAAAAATTTGTGAAAGAATGGGTCTCTCTCTTGAGGTGGAGGAACTTGACTGGCCTGCACTCAACCCGATAGAACACCTTTGGGATGAATTAGAGTGGAGACTGTGAGTCAGGCCTTCTAGCCCAACATCAGTGCCTGACCTCACAAATGAGCTTCTGGAAGAATGGTCAAACTTTCACATAGGCACACTCTTAAACCTTGAGGACAGCCTTCCCAGAAAAGTTGAAGCTACTATAGTTGCAAAGGGTGGGTCATCCCAATACTTTGGGCAATATAATATATACATACTGTATATATTGTAATGGCGTTTGCTCGGCAGCGGGTGTGTGCGAGTTCACAACACAAAAAAACAGGCACCGCAAAACAGCAGCGTAGGTGAAAAACAAAAAGGTGTGTGGTTTATTTACACTATTTACAAGAAAAACGTCAAACCAAAAAGAAACATGAAATTAAATCCTCGCCAATTTGGCTACTTACTATACAATAGCTTCCCTAGCTATCCACTAGGTACAGCCTTGTGCTACACCCAGTCCCTATCAGTTGGAGGCTAACCACACAGGCCTTTGTCTCACCGCACAGACAAGTATGGCGTTCCCCAGTCTACTCAGGCACAGATCTGGTTCCAGGATGGAGCAACTCCCTAAGCAAGCTGGGAAGTTTTATAGAGGCCCTAATGAGCCCACTACCTTCAGCTGGGCTTATTACCTCACTGCTGAAGGCTCAGCAATTCCCCCTAGTGGAACAAATCCACATAGAGCCTAAATCTCGGACAGATATATATGCCGTCCTGGACGCAACCAGGTGATTTTACCTGCCTACTGTCACAATATATATATAATATATATATATATATATAGATAGATAGACCTGAGCTTATGAAACCACAATCGATAATCAAAAATAAAAAAAAATTAGTTGTGAAACATATAGTAGCTGAACACAAAAACCCTGATACTAGGCAATCCGCAATAATACATAAAAGTGCAGCGCTTAAACAAGTGACAAATAATCATAAAGAAACAGTGAAAAGTGTATCAAAAAATATAGTCCATCCAAAAATGAAATAAAAGTCCCAGAGGTTGAGATGAAATAAAAGAAATCCAAGGACGGTCGTTGTGTCAGCAACCACTACTACAGAAGACTTACCAGAAAAGGCATGACTCCATGTTAAGAGTGGTCAATCGTGCTTTGTTTAAACAATCCAGAAAGCCGGACACTCGAATCCTCCTCCAGATCTCCAAAAGAGCAGATAAAAATCTTCCACAATGGACCTTTTATTCATATGACTCTTATTTCTTGTGTGAAATGCCAGTCAGTACAGCATTGTCTTGCGTAGCATTAGATGTATTGATCTTGCTATCCAGGTGTGTCTACCTTTTATGCCGGCCCCTTTCACGTGACTCTCACTGGATTGACACTCTTGCACTGTGGAATGCTCAAGAGGAAGTATCCCACAGACAGGCAGCTCCTCCCAGCACCCAATCTGTGCTCAGCCTGACACCCTCTCCCTCGAACACTCATATATATATATATAACTTAGATTACAAAATCTTCAGTTTTACCCAACTTAGTTACTGCAAAAATAAATACACCCCACAACAAAAACTACTACATCTAGTATTTTGTATGACCTCTATGATTTGTAAGGACAGCACCAAGTCTTCTAGGCATGGGATGAACAAGTTGCCGACATATTGCAACATCTATCTTTTTCCATTCTTCAGGAACAACCTCTTTTAGATCCTGAATGCTAGATGGAGAGTGATGCTCAACTTGTCTCTTCAGAATTCCCCATAGGTGTTTGATTGGGTTCAGATCAGAAGACATACTTGGCCACTGAATCACTTTCACCCTGTTCTTTAGAAATGCAACAATGGCCTTAGATGTGTGTATTGGATCATTGTCATGCTGGAAAAGCATGCAATGACGACCAAGGGCACGGAGTGATAGTAGCATCTTATCTTTCAATAAAGAGGAGTGCATCTGTGAATTCATGATACCATCAATGAAATGCAGATCCCCAACACAAGCAGCACTCATTCAGCCCCACAGAAGGACACTGCCACCACCATGTTTCACTGTAGGCACCATGCATTTTTTTTTGTACTCCTCACCTTTGCGACACCATACAGTTTTGAAGCCATCAGTTCCAAAAACATTTATCTTGGTCTCACCACTCCAGAGTACAGAGTCCCAGTCCTTTTCTTTTTCAGCGGGGGGCCCTGGAAAATTCTAGGAAGGCTTTTTGTGCATGGGCTTTAGGAGAGGCTTCCTTTGAGAATGACACCCTTGCCATTCCTCTGCAGTGTACGCCATATTGTGTCACAGGAGACAATCACCCCAGTTTGTCTTTCTACTTCTTTAGCTAGCTGCTGTGATTTTTCATGGTGATTTTTCTTCAACTGTTCTCATCAGAAGATGCTCCTGTCCAGGTGTTAACTTACATTGACGGCCTGAATGTCTCTGTGAGATGGTTGCAGTTCCATCTTTGTTAAATTTTTGTATTACTTTTTACAGTATTCTGACTGATAAGTAAAGCTTTGCTGATCTTCTTGTAGGCTTCACCTTTCTCGTGTAAAGAAATAATTTTCTTTCTCAGGCCTTGTGACATTTCTCTTCCATGTTGTGCCATTCCTGACAGCATGAAATGGGAAGGGGATTTCTTTGTTAAGTAGTGCTCTTTTGGTCATTGGTCACTTGGCCATTGAATCACTTCCACCCTGTTATTCTTCAGAAATGCATCAGTGGCCTTAGATATGTGTATGATGACCAAGG